TTTAACAGCAGGGCCACGGACCACATGCATGACTGGCGAAATTTCTACCACTGAACAGCCGACTCATATAAAATCGTGTGTAGCAGGTGGGATTCGAACGTACGCCCACATCATGAACCAGAACACCCAGAAGATTACTTTTGATATTCAAGTATTGGTTTGTAGGGATTCGATTGATTGGTTACAGGATTTCATCGTGGACTGACATCTGCTAGAGAACCACTGGAAAAACAAAAGGGAGCACTGGACAGCTGTTTCGTCTTAATTCTTCATCAGTACGCACCCACTGGGGTTCGAACCCTGTCCGGCGCCTTAGACCTCTCGGCCACCCCGACCTCCTGGTTCGTATTAGACAAATCAAATTCACGATTTGCAATTTACACGGCTGGCTTTCCTGATTTTTTTCGATTACATGCAGTTAACACAAACAACAGTGGGTTCTAAAGGAAACTGTGGTGAAATGTTTCCACCCACTGCTCCACGAAAGGTGCGAATTTCAAATTGCGAAATTAATTTACTAAATGCAAACTGGATATAAGGTATTACCAGTTTGGCCGATTAACTATTCAGAATTTTGGCGGGAAAATAAAATGATTTGGCCGTCTAAGCTGAATCAAACCACGTACATCGTTGGTAACCTTGGCGTCAAATGAGACCAAGAATTGTCTTGGTATTTACACCACTATTAATTGATGTCAGTGGTGTTCATCTACTGATATAAATTAATCAGTAGCATAAAAAATGTAACAACATTTCTAGACCAAATAGTGTGTCAAGCGTATAGGCAATATATGAACACCAGATCTATGGTGATGCGGTAAATTCTCACTGAGTTAAAATAAAACTTCTATTTACCAAGAGTTTGTGTACCTCATTCCTTGAGGTTCAGTGTATTATATATATATATAGTTAGTCACTTGGTGACATCATCTCACCTTGGATGTACATTGAACAGTTGATAATAATAATAATAATTTACTTTATTCCAAAAACAGTACTTATAATACAGAATGGAATTCTCAGCATTTGTCACAACATTGCATCTGATTTACTCAAAGTGTATATAAAATTAAAAATTTAAAACAAAAATTAATCGGAGAAGTTTGTCCACACTAACGACATAATTATTAGATATAGTAATAATAATAATAGTAATAATAATAATAAATACTAATAACAGTGAGTTTGTTTCAAACGGTATTGTCGATTCAGTTTGGAAACATTAGCATGTTATGGATAATTGGGTCTAATGTTCTGTTGATATGGTATAGTGAGGTGAAATACAAAGTTAACAGTCATAATACAGCTTAAAATTATGTCCACACTTATGCAAAATAAAATAAACAAAACGAAAAAATTGAGAGGATTATAAATATAAGAAATACAATAACAATAAAGTATGATGCTTTAAGGTTGAAGGAAATGGTCTATTTAGTGGTGCTAAGAAGGTTAGTTAGTTCATTTCTGACACTATTTTCATCACATAGTGTACGTGCTAAATATAGTATAGTGGAATTTTTATACTTAGACGTACGTGCATAAAGTCTTCTGAAAAGACTTCTTGTTTTACCTGAGGAGACACAAGGTTGGAGCTGCGGGTAGAGTGGGTGCTCAGAGTCTGACAAAATTCCTTCAGCGAATCTGTTGCATGACATCAAATGCCTATCGGTGACAATGCCAACGATATGGCCCAGTTGGATACCACTCGTCCTACTGACAGTCTTCAGAGTTCTACGAAGTATGACATAGTCCTTTTTTAGCAATCCAGGAAAGAATAAGGGTGAACAGTAAAGAAGAATAGGTAAAATACACGAGTTGACAAACTGTAAGAGGAGTGGTTGAGTTATGCCTGAGTGCCTTAACTTCTTAATGTAAAAAGTTAAACGAAATATTCTTTGAGAAATCGCTAAGACATGAGAAGACCAAGATAGGTCAGAAGAGAGAACTAATCCAAGATACTTAACCTCAGACTTGCTTTCTATATCGGTATCATCGATTTTGCAAGGGTCATAGGAACCAACGGCTTCGTTTAACTTTCGTTTACATCGGAAACTGAAATTAACAGTCTGACATTTGGAAGGATTAAGTTTAAGGCCGTTAGACGAAGACCATTTGCTAATTTCTGATAGAAAGTTGTTAATCTTAATACAGTCAAGTTGAGAGTTAACAGACATTGAAATAGTTAGATCATCGGCATACTTAACAAAGTTCATTTCCTCGGAGTGAGGTAAGTCATGCAAGAAGAAAGAAAACAGAAAAGGAGAAAGGACAGCGCCTTGAGGGACACCAGCCTGAGTAAGCAATGAAGTGGACGACTTTCCCTGATATACAGTGTATTGCTTTCTTTCTGAGAAATAAGAATGGAGCCATTTGACAACCCAACAGTCAGTTTGAGTTTCAGCAAGCTTCTTTAACAAAATGTCCCTAGGTACTGAGTCAAAAGCAGATGTGTAATCTAGGAAGGTGAAGCGAAGACATTTATTCGCCTTGTCTAAGCTGGAGACAATGTTATGATGCAGGACTGCAGCTGCGTCCAAAGTACTTCTACTATGTTTGTAGGCAAACTGTTTGGGATCATTAAAGGCTTTAAGTGAAGGCTGAAGATTAAGTAAGAGCAACTTTTCCATAGCTTTCAGAAAAGGGGAAGTAATAGCAATGGGTCTGAATTTAAAACATGTCGCAGTAGACGACTTAGGAATAGGTACAATTTTAATGTCCTTCCAAGCGGCTGGCACGACATTTTTGGAAAAAGAATCATTGAATATGTCCATTAGAGGATAACACAGGATATCTGCACAATTTTTAAGAATAACACTAGGCAAACCATCTGGACCCAGGCTACAAGAAGGGTTCATAGACTGGAGACATTTTAGAACGTCATTTGTAGTAAATCCAGGAAAGCAGGTTTCATTAATACTTGTAACACTAGAAAGTTTGGCATTCGTGGGAGAATGTATGAAGGAATTGTTTAGTTTGGAAACATCAAGGGGAAAAGGAATACTGTTCATCTGCTTACCACCAGTAATTTCTTTGAAAAGTTTCCATATGTTAGACGCATTTTTACAGGATATGAACTTTTGGTTGTAAATTGAATTCAATCTGTGCATTTCGGACTTTATTAGGATGTTAATTCTTTTCAAACCAGCATTATCCTTCATTTTATATAATTTTTCTTTCTGTCTGCGAAGCTTTTTAAGTTGAGGAGAGGAGAAACGGTCAAATCTGATAAAGAGCGTTTCTCTGGGACAACAGGTGTCAAGACAAAATTTGAGATAACTTGTAATATTGGAGATTGTGTCATCAAGAGAGTCTTCTTTAAACAGGTCCCACCTTGTATCTTTGAGCATGCTTCTGAGGTTCTGAACATTCTCCATAGAGTAACATCCATGTACAGTTTTCTTGGAAAGGTGTGAAAAAGTTCTCTTGTGTAATTTTCCATAAATTTTAGGTAAAACCCGTACAATACAATGATCTGAGTTAAACAGTGGAGCTCTTTTACGAGCTTCGTATATTCCGGAGTCATTGATAAATACAAGATCAAGGGAATTATCCAGTCTGGTGGGAAAGTTAACAACATTTTCATGACCTGTTACTGTGAGAAAGCTGCAGTCACATGAATTGAAATCACCTGTCACTATGGACAGGGAGTTACCAAAAGAGGCGGCAGCGAAAATAGTGAATTCATCAGCAAGCATAGATAATTCTGAAGTGCTACAACAAGGTGTGATATAAATACTCGTGATATAAATGAATTTGTATTTAGATAGGTGTTTAGGTCGACATTTGACAGTTATACAGTCAATATTATCATTTGAGAATTTAAAACAGACGTTGTTGGCAACAGACCACTGAGAATTGATGAAGGTAGCAACACCGCCGCCTCGCTTCTTCCTTGAACTACTCCGGTCTTGTCTGTACATATTGAAACCACTTATTAAGATTAAATTATCATCAAATGAGTCGTGTAGCCAAGTTTCCTGAAGCGTTATTACACCGGTATTACGATAAATATTTGAATATAATAGAGAATCCAAGTGATTAATCTTGTTCGATAATGACCTGCAATTAGTGCTCATAATCACAGGAACAGTCATCTGATGCATTGGAGTACACTTTAAGGATCTTTGCCACCCACCATGGTGCTTTTTCTTAAGGTTATTATATACTCGTAAATTATCCGGTTGAAAACATTTTAAATAATCGCGAGAGTAAGTAACACGTTTTGGACACATAATTGAATAATTAAAACAAAATAAATCCAAGAAATCAGATGCAATATAAGTGACGGAAAAATTTGGTAGCCCAAGTTTTAAGCAGGCCACCGTATGTTGTAATGATGTAATGATCAAAAGCGACATGCTGTGGTTTGAACACATAAATCCAGTACGAAAACATCCCAGCAATAGTTAAAACAACAACAATTGGCAAAACAATGGATAGCACTAAGTAATAATAATAACACATCAAAATCTCAAAATTACCTCCACAATGTCATCAGGCAGCTACACAGATCCAATACTTTCTTGAGTACAAAACAAGTATTACACAACAGAATTATAAAGCCAAAACCAGCCACACAAAGTAATTGAGAACCAAGTAGTATATTCCCAACAATATGGGATCAAAACTCTATCCAAAAGAAGCATACAACAAAAACAATTACGGAGGACAGTCTAACGTCTGAGGCAACACCTAATCAATATCCCCATCATACAACCACAAAGAGAAGCATTAAAATAAGAGATTGAAGAGGAACAGGAGACAAATAACAAGGACCAAGTCAACAAAATTACATGTAAACGTTGGAAAAATGATATTAAATCTAGGAGAAGTTGGCTGAAATATCCAGATAAGTTTCAGTATTGTAATTACATCGATCAGGATCGGTTTCCCGATTTTCCAGTTGAATTTGCCTGGTAAAAACTACTGCATGTGTCTTTGAGTGAATTTCTAACCAAGTTCTTCATAATACATTATTATTATTATTACTATTATTATAGTTTAACGAATATCGCATTGACCGCCGATTCAATCTAGAGTTAGAAAATGAATCAGAAGAGTTGAAAAAAATCAAAAAGGTGAGCTCATTTATTATGCATATTGTGTAAAATGAGATTATTTTTGGTTAAAAAGTAATATTTATACTTTATTATCTCAATGATTTACAAATTTAACCTTCAAGAAAAATGATCCCAGATTTGAAAGCTTCTTCAATCTGTGTTTCTTCTGTCTCGAATGCACAATTTTCAATGCACACAGATGGGAGGAGGAGGGCGGTGGAATTACACCACAGTCTTCTTTCGAAACGGAAATTCTACAGGTCACTACAATATGTGATCTGCTTGACCCTGTCATAAATCGTAATCTAGATGGCGAATACATTTGCATAAGACTACATACTACTGATCGGTTGAGATCAGTAGCTGTATATCAGTCACTTCGACCTCTCAAATCATGTACATTGCGAATAACCAGCGAATTTGTGAATATGGAATATGATTAATGTTAACACCAGTTCACTTAAGAAGCTAGCCAGAAATCAGGTGGTTTCGGCTCTTTGATCTGATTCAAAGTGGGCGCAACACTGTTGATGATCTCGACCCTAAACGAGTGAGGCAGCCGTCCTGCGGTGCTTACGTCATCTGGACTTGACTGGCTGGCAAGAATTACTAGTTGATATCAGTGCTTCATAACTACTCCCGTCAATCAATCAGTAGTTTAGATTTTTATGTAATTATGCTTGATTTCTTCTATCTGTTGAAGCTGTTAAAAACGATTAGATGCGCTTTACTATCAGCGCTAAAATCCTTGATCATTATACACTTTAAAACAAATCGTCTGATTGCAAACTTCTATTCGTAATAGAAAGGGAGTAAACAGCATGCTAGCTGAATTCGTCATAATTTATGAGCACTTTTTCAGCTACTTAAACATTTTATCAGTAGGCGAAATTTTACTTAAAAATATTTATGTGACAAGCAGTAAATAATCACGAAAATGATTACCAATAGATCTCAGTTATCTTGGTGACAGACTGACTGGTTTATTTTAAATCTAAGACTTCTAAGGAATTATGGACAGATTAACTACAGGCAGGAAGCAAGGTTAGTAACAGATAGGGAAGGAGATAATATGCATTAATGCACAACACTAAACTGATTGAATATATCAGATAAATTAAGGGAAGCAATACAGAATTTATGAATTCAAATGTTTGACAGCAGACCAGGCGATCAATAGTAGTGGCTAGTCATACCTGCTTCTTTTGCACACAGAGCTCTTGTTGATTTGAGCCATTTTGCAATGCCCTTTGCTGTTTGCTGTGTTCGGTATCTACAGAAAGATTATTCAATTCTAACTTTGTTATCTGTTTGGTTGAGTCGATCTAATGTAGATGTGTTGATGGTTTTAAGTACACCTTTATTTAGCCACACAAAATGGTCGATGTTCCCAAACACAAAGCATTAAGTTCCTAGAGCAATGGCTAATATAAGTAGCTTCACAGGAGCAATTGAAATGATAGATAAGGGAAGAAATGGAGGCCAGCCTAGGTACTTCCTCGTTCAATTGAGGAGTCAGAATCCGCTTTTTGGAAAATATAAGCTTCAACATATTGGTATTAAAAACAGTATATTTAGGTGGACAGAGAGTGCAGATAACCGAGTGATTTCAGCAGGCCACTAAGAAATTTCTTGTTATTCTGTAACAACAGTAGACAAGGGCCAGGTAACAGATCGTTTATTAAGGAAATCAAAGCATATTTATATATTTTCATGTACATTATTTTAGATTAGCTAAGTAAACAAACACAGTCATCTGATTAGTTGTTTCTCACTTAAAGCTAATCTTTCATCTATTTCTGATTGTTTCTTGAATGTCAGATCGTCTATATGTTACCTGTATCCGCTTACGCAAAGTCTGCTGTGCTTGGTTTTGAATCAGTCTTTGTTCATATTTTTTCACGACAAATCTTGAGAACGTAAACATTGACGTAAATTACTGTCTACCAATTTGGCTAGTAGATAGCTGTCACCATAACTCCACTACGACATAATTTGCATCAGTGCCTTAGTGGCAGAATGCTCGCCTAATACACAGATGGTCTGGGTTCTACTGGTAGCCGACGCACTCCTTGCCCAGTAAGCAGTAAGCTTAGTAAAGATAGAAGGTTGGACAAGAGACAAATAGCTCCATTGTGTCATAGAACAGCGCCTTTGCTACTGAAACTTCGAATGACGAAGCTTGAAGCCTTATTTTTCACTTGGAAAGTAAAACAATGCAAGAACTCAGGGCACATTTTAATTTAAATAAATCATTTTTTCTCCCGTTCCCTTAATTTAGGTCCAATCATTTTTTCGTGGTTGGTTATGTCGTCGTCGATGGAAGCATATTGTTGAAGAGTATATACGTTCTGAGCATGCAGAATCAATGCGTAAACGTAATAGTATTGTATTCGGCCTTGTTGAATGTGAAGATGAATATGTTCAACAATTATCCATCCTGGTTACATGTTATCTAAGACCATTTCGTATGGCAGCCAGCTCTAAAAAGCCGATTGTTACTCATGAAGATGTGAATTCAATATTTTTAAATGCGTAAGTTAGCTTGTTAAAACAAAATATGCATAAATATGTGATAAGATTGGTAATAGAACAATTAAGATAATTTGTTTTAATTTAATTGTGTTCTCTGAGGAACTGGTTGGTTTAATTGCGAAGCTTTCGTTATCTACCATCTAGACAACATTGCTTCAGCGCAGGTGTTAGTGCGAAATGAACTTAGTAGAATTCTTCATGAATGATTACATAACTGTACCCCCTAACAACCTCCTTTGTCGTGATTTGTTGTTAATTTACATCTCTATCGATCATTTTTATTGACTTGGGAATTGAACTTGCTTGCCATGTGGGGCTTATTTTTTATTAGTTGGTAAATTTGGTCTACCAATAAAATGTTGGTGGAGATATGTAGACGATACGTTAGTAATAGTGAAAAAAGAACGATGCTGAGAAATTCTTCTCACTCGCACATAAACAGTTATGTCGACTCAATAAAATTCACTGTGGAATTAGAGAATAAAATTGGAGAACTACCTATTTTAGACTGCAAAACACAAAGATGGTAGCATTAAAACGACGCTATATAGGAAAAATACACACTCTTAAGGATTCCTTGATTATCCACTCAGCTCATTCACTCACGGTAAAACGAGGATTATTAATACAAGGTCTTGCGGATAGAATACACAGACTTACAACAACACCAGAGGACCAGTGTAAAGAAATAAACGTCCTATTCAAAATGCTACTCGACTAAAACTACCCAAAAGAATTTATCAAAGATAATATAACAAAGAGAAAAAAGAGGGTAAAGCCGGAGAATGACAAGATAGAATGCTACATCAGAGGCAATTCGAAGAAACCTCAAAATATTGGGATTCACACAACGCTTAAATCGACGAATCTAATTAAAAATAAAATAAATCAACTGAGAAGATCCCATAAAAATGATGGTTAAAAACAACTTGATTTACAAAATATCTTGTGCTGACTGTCCGAATAAATATGTGGGGCAAACGTCCAGATCACTCAAAATAAGAGTGAATGAACATAAACACCTAACCGACTAAAGGTCATCCAACAGGAGGGAACACAAGCTTACAAGAATTTAGAAAAAATTCATCGATACCAGCACATGCATGGGACAAAAACAACAATATGAATTGGAACAATGTTTGTATTCTAAAAACTAACATGAACAAATGGAAAGAGAGACTTATAGCAGAATCTATATTCATTAAGGTCACACCGGATACATGTAATAAGGGTGACTCAGTACAACTGTCAACAACCTCGAATATAATTCTGAATACACAAAAATGAATGAACAAAACAAAATGAACTATACATATATGAGTACAAATCATAAATGTTTGAACAAAACAATTCCAACAGCTGGTGTGAACACGGGCAGTAGTAATTTTGCTCGAAATATTACCAAAAAACAAAAACTTATCATTGTGTGTAAACTATTGAAATATAATTATACTTTATTTGATGTATTCCACAATGCTCAAACTTTTTACTAACACTGTAGTAATGTGTTCATTAATTGTTGGCTGATTCACTTGAGTACCAGACTTCTATGAGTTTCTACATTATCCTGATCGAATTTGTGTCCGTAGTTATCTACGTGCATTGATATGAAAGAATACACATTGTACCTTTTCACAGTTAATTTGTTTTTTTGGATTCGAACTCGAAGGGGAAGCTCAATTTGACCGATGTAGTGTTTATCGCCCAGTTGATGCAGTTTGTTCTGTAAATGGTATTAATTTTATCATCTTTTTCTGTTGGATCCTTCATTCTGCACAATATCGAGTGAAGTGTTTGTACTGTCTATATTTATTCCAGATGGTCTTGGTATTCCAGCCGCTATTTCAGAGATATTCTTTATGTATAATAGAGTGAATTTTCTTATGGTCTTTGATGATGGCTTCTTGTCGTTATGAAAACTTCAGTTTAGGCATTTTTAATGAAATTGTGTGGGTATTCATTCTCCTTTAAGAAGACAAGTGGTAGATGTTTCTCTTCTACTCTCCTCAACAATGGAATGCTACAGTGTGTATTTGGACTCTTTTAAACAATGTTTGCACACAGTTTTTATTTTGTGAGTCATTAGGTTATTGCTGTTATAGTTGAGTATTCGGTCTGTGTGTTTTGACTTTCCATATACTTGTGTTTCCAAATTTCATGTGTTGGTTCTCTTGATTGAGTAAGACATCTAAGAATAGAATTTTGTTGTCTGATTCTTCTACTCTCGTGGTGAATTTGATGTCTTCAAATATGTTGGTTATTAATTCGTGAGTGTCATCCAAATCACATTTCTTTTAATTATTACGAATGTATCATCGACATAATGTTGATGTTTTCTAGAATGGGGACAATGAAAGCTTCGCAGTTAAATCAGACACTTCAGAGAACACAACGAACTAATCAAAATCATCTATCTACGCTTCAAATCTTCTCCATTATTTTAATACGTTGTAATATTCTTAGCATTTAGATCACACTTTACGAATAAAAAGTTAATTTTCTAGTGTCCTTCTGTCAGAATTTCACTTATTTCAAATTAGATCACAAAGTGACATGGGTTAGAGTAATGTTGAAGACCAGGGAGTTATAAGACTAGTAACCGATTTACCGCAAAAAGAAGCCCCTCCATTTAGTGAGACAAAGTGACTACTAGGGTCACTCAAGTTGGATGTGACGGTATACGCTATCCAATGACATTCATTGTCAGTTATGCCAGACAGAGCATTAAGTAAATTTCATCCCAGTAGGTGGATAGTCAGTGAGTTGGCCTCGTAACTCAATTATCCTAGATTCGAGAGCAGGTGGTTCATAGCTGTGAACTGCTGTTGGCCATTTTAGTAGGATGAAGTAACTTTCCAGTACTCCTTGGTGTTCAGTTGTTCTCAAATTGAGGTGTCACCGACTCGTCAAACTTGCAATTAGTTTCATCTGTATTTTTTTTACTTTTTTGAAGTATTTTTCTTACTATCAACAGATATTTAAGTAGTATAAAATTATTTATAAAATTTTATTGCCTAAATTTACATGTCTAAAAACCAAGTTCATATTTAGTAGTTTGAAACTTTTGCAGCTTCAAGTATATGATATTCATTATTATAAAAGTTCTTTTTTGTATTTTCCAGTAAATGAAAAAGCAAAACGATATTGTTTCTATTGGTGTTTCGCTATTTAACGCTGCTAATGAAAATGCTTATCACATTTGTGTAGATTTTTTCACTTCATGAGAAGTGGGGTGATTGTTAGAAACAGATCAAATTCTGTCTAAGTCCGTCATTCCCACTCAGGCAATTTAAAATGCAAGTATTGGTTTTGTAGGGATTTGGTTTGATTGCATGGAGGGTTTCATCATGAGCTGACATCAGTTAGGGAACCACTGGAAAACCAGCTGGGAGTACTGGACAGCTGTTTCGTCCTAGTTTGGGACTCTTCAGCAGTACGCGCCCAACGGGATTCGAACCCAGGACCTTCTGGTTACGAGGCGAGCTCGTAGACCATTGAGCCACTGGGACCCGATCCAATGGTCCTTGAATTCTAACTTCTGCCAATTCACGACATAGCGCGACCATTTCGCAATGTCTTCTTCGTGAGTAACTGTCCTCATCTTCGACCTGCTGTACCCTACTGGTCACGGCTTCCCACTAGAACCCCAGGTTAACTGCCTGAATAGGGCCAGTCACTAGTGAGCATCAGATTAATTTGCAAGTATTGGTTTTGTAGGGATTTGGTTTGATTGCATGGAGGGTTTCATCATGAGCTGACATCAGTTAGGGAACCACTGGAAAACCAGCTGGGAGTACTGGACAGCTGTTTCGTCCTAGTTTGGGACTCTTCAGCAGTACGCGCCCAACGGGATTCGAACCCAGGACCTTCTGGTTACGAGGCGAGCTCGTAGACCATTGAGCCACTGGGACCCGATCCAATGGTCCTTGAATTCTAACTTCTGCCAATTCACGACATAGCGCGACCATTTCGCAATGTCTTCTTCGTGAGTAACTGTCCTCATCTTCGACCTGCTGTACCCTACTGGTCACGGCTTCCCACTAGAACCCCAGGTTAACTGCCTGAATAGGGCCAGTCACTAGTGAGCATCAGATTAATTTGCAAGTATTGGTTTTGTAGGGATTTGGTTTGATTGCATGGGGGGTTTCATCATGAGCTGACATCAGTTAGGGAACCACTGGAAAACCAGCTGGGAGTACTGGACAGCTGTTTCGTCCTAGTTTGGGACTCTTCAGCAGTACGCGCCCAACGGGATTCGAACCCAGGACCTTCTGGTTACGAGGCGAGCTCGTAGACCATTGAGCCACTGGGACCCGATCCAATGGTCCTTGAATTCTAACTTCTGCCAATTCACGACATAGCGCGACCATTTCGCAATGTCTTCTTCGTGAGTAACTGTCCTCATCTTCGACCTGCTGTACCCTACTGGTCACGGCTTCCCACTAGAACCCCAGGTTAACTGCCTGAATAGGGCCAGTCACTAGTGAGCATCAGATTAATTTTCAAGTATTGGTTTTGCAGGGATTTTTTTTGATTGCATGGGGGGTTTCATCATGAGCTGACATCAGTTAGAGAACCACTGGAAAACCAGCTGGGAGTACTGGACAGCTGTTTCGTCCTAGTTTGGGACTCTTCAGCAGTACGCGCCCAACGGGATTCGAACCCAGGACCTTCTGGTTACGAGGCGAGCCTTAAATACGAACTGCTTCTGATGATTTAAGACATTCATTGTGATTCCTTAGTTTTTTCTAGATGATTTCAATATTATAAAAAAAAACAATTTTGTGGCCTGATTGATACTATAGCCTGTAGACCACCTATGACTGATGATTTTTTTAGCTTTTCTAATTCATCTGAATGTCTGGGTGCTCGAACAGTTGCTATATGATGTTTATTCCTCCTGATTTTAATACATTTCCTCAGGGTTTGTCCGATGTTTATCACATCACATTCTAAGATACAATTATTACTGTGAATCCCTTGGAATTTGGACTTCTACATGAA